TTCTAAAAAATGAAAATTAAATGATAAAAGTATCAAATATATAACGATAAAAAATACGTCTAAATTATTAATTTCATAATTCATACCCAATTTTATGAATATTTTATTAAAACGAATTATTTCGATGACAATAGAAAAAAAAAAATATCAATTCAGAAAAAAGAATTATTAGATCTTTTTGTAATTAAAGTATCCTACGATTTTTAGGTTAAATGTACAAAATAAAATGTTATGATAATTAATTAATAAAATAAATAATGGTAAATATTTCGTACTAAACAACAATAATAAATTAAAAATATATTTCTCTAGATGTTTATCAAATATCGTTTACATAAAACAGTTGAAAAATTTCGAAGTTTTGATTTATTTAATTTTTTTTTAAGTATACTAAAAAATATTTAAGATTATCTTTTATCTATTGGCAAAAAAAGATACTGTAACCACAAATATCTTTATACGAGATTAAAACTATTAATTTTGGAATATTATTGTTTTAGGCAAACGTATATAGGTTTTCGTTAAGCTGGACGAGATTGTATCCAAAAGGAAACGCTAGAGAATTTAATCCAGCCGGTATCAACTATTACAATAAATTAATCGACACACTAATATTGAATGGTATTCAACCTTATGTGAGTATTTAATAAAAAATGTTTAAGTGGGTATGTAAAAATGTTATGGAAATACCTTATACAGTATTCATGAAAACTATGTTATGACATCTCGTTTTGTACGTTATGTTTATTCGAAAAATACTGAAACACATTATCTCTATTATCACCAAACCTAAAGTATTAATCATCCAATTTACAATCAACATAGTAAAGTTTATAAAATATTTAAAGTTTTTGTAATCTTTAACTATTACATTAAGGTTACAATCCACCATTTCGACTTACCGAGACATTTGCAAATGATCGGCGGTTGGTCAAACAGGGCTTTGATAATTTACTACAGAATTTATGCCGATTTCGCTTTTAAAACGTTCGGGGACAGAGTGAGTATATTATAAAAAAATAACCGTTCTCGTTTTGGATTTATTATTGTTTTTAAATTTATAATTTTCAGGTTAAATTGTGGACGACGATTAATGAGCCTACAGTGACAACCGAAGGGTACAGATCGTTGAACGCCGCTCCAGCATTTGGAAATGATATGAGCGGAGTAGCCGATTATTTAGCTACGCATAATATAATTATCGCACACGCCACAGTGTATCGTCACTATCAGAGAAATTACAAAGACACTCAAAAAGGTAAAGCTTAATATGTGTACCGGTAAAATATAAATACACCTGTAGTGAAATTTGTTTAATCATTCATATAATTTTTTTTGTTTTGGTTTATTGTCTAGGAAAAATTAGTGTCAATGTAGCGGGAGATTGGTACTTCCCGTTGAACGAAACCAAACAGGAAGACAAAAATGCCGTTGCAGTAGCATTAGCGTTCCAGGTAGTTTTTCTTTTACTACAGAATTTCATCACCTTTGCATAATTATACTAGTTGATTTCACAGAGTCTTTCCCGTAGACATAACCCCGTATAGCAGTATTCCACACCAACCTCTGTCGCCGTCCTTTATTCTTTATTTACTTTAGTCTTTTTTATAGGTGGGTCTTGACAATTTATTTCCAGTGACAATGTATGAGAATTATACATTCATATCCGATTAAAAGTTTCTTGATTATAGCCGTTTTCATTTCTAGAAAAAAGGGTGAAAACGATTAATATTCAATAGATGGGAAATATTACCGCGCAGATTGTGATTATAATCGCATAACGTGTTGTTTTATTGAATTTTTAATTGTTTTCACACATATTATAAAGAAATTAAAACGGCTCTAACTGAAATAAGAATACCTAATTGTACTTTACGATCATTTGTAGTTAGTTTTTTTTTCTTTATACAATATACTGTTTTGATATGTTAATTTTGTTTTAATAGGTTGGAGTTATTCTTCATCCGTTGACATATGGTGATTACCCGGAAAAACTCAAAGAAAGAGTTCACCAAAACAGCGATCGTCTAAATATCTCGAATATTCGTCTTCCGGAATTTACACCCGAAGAAAAACAACTCATTACAAGTACATAATATACTTTATGATTAGGCAGTATTAAGTTAGATTAATATTGATATGCATAATATGCTTGATAATACGGTATATTTATAAATTGTATTCGAAAAAACCTTTAAAAGATAAAAAGAAAAATTTGAGTAAACCGGAGGTACCGGAGTTGTCGTAGAACAATTGCAGAAGCATGTAGGAAGTTTAGAACGTAGGATACATAAAGTAATTTTATTTATGTCGATATGTAACGATGAGCCGTTGCCAATGAAAAACGATTCCGTACGAATTACGGTTATACTACACATATTTTTCCAATGTGCTGGTGTGCGTTATTTTATAATTTTAAAATTTGAAAGGTCATGGTTTTTATAAACTAGAACAGTAAATAGNAGAAGTTCAGAAAGTAGGTTACATAGAGTTATTATATTTATGTTTATATTTGACGATAAACCGTTCCTAATGAAATACGATTCTGAACGAATTACGGTTTTACTTGTTTTAATCCGTACATTTTAGAATTTCTGTTTTAATTTGATTTCAAAAGACTTAAGGAAAAAATAATGAAAGCAAAGCTCACTTGTTGTAGTCTTTTGATTGGAACACATATCTTAGTAAAACCAATACATTACATCCTCTGCCGTCAAGATACTTACTGTAACATTATAAAACGTGTTTAGCTCAATTTTTCAAAAACTACTTTTGATTAGGTATCTAGTCACCTATTCTATATTAGGTGATTTTGCTCATTGGAACATGATAGGGCCTTGTAGGGCCGCATATTTTTCCAATGTGCTGGTGTACTTTATTTTATAATTTTCAATTTGGAAACGTTATGGTTTTCATAAACTAGAACAATACAAAGCTCCAAAGGCTTCGGGCTTCGTAAAGCAATCGGTTGATATGGGCCGGGATAAGCTTAAAAACTTTGGCCCATGTGGAGCTCTATACTCTGTCCAACTTAAGAGTATTCCAGTTTACGTATAATTTGGTAATTTGCTACTGCGGTCGTGTATTCATCGAGTTTTGATATCTATTATACCTATTGCCAAATAAAGAGTAATAAACACGCATACCAATACTGTTTCAGTGAAATTAAAAGGGAAGATAGAAAATCACAATACTTAAAACGTAAATTTTAGCGATTATTTAAATTGAAAGAGAACGTTTGTGCGAGAAAATACGTGTACGCGGTAGGGCCGTTAAAAGAAAATGTTATCGATATTTTGTTCTCTATGGATGTCGTATATCATGTGTATTGACCGTGGGGAGATAATTGTCGGGTGAGTGGGTGAAACAGTACCGGTAACCGGGAGTCGGAACACATGCGCTAAAATGAAAATGTTTTCGTCCGCCGCCGGCTATAGTCTTAGGTTTGACAGTGTATAGTATATTAAGAGATATTTATATTACTCCTTTTTTAATTTTGTATTTTTCACGTACAGATTCCTACGATTTCATTTCATTAAATCATTATATGTCATTTGAGGTGACTGATTTGCCTGAAAACGAAAGGGAAGGAAAAAGCGTCAGTGATCTTGACGCAAACATACAGAAAAATATTATAAAGAGCGATGACGAATTAAAAAATAGATCATGGATCAAGGTAAAAATAGACTAATAATTACGGTATATAAATGGATATTATTAATATGGATAGATGATAAGATGATAGATAGATAGTGTTTTACGATACTACTTATAATTGATAAATCTTTGTGGTTAAGTTAGTACGCGACTCATGTTGGTTGTCAGTAATAATATTTTATAACAATATTTTTATCATAATTTGCAAGTTTTATGCGTTTTATAAGCCTGTAGGCAAATTATTTTACTATTGTGTACTTTGAGTTGCATCGGCTAATTCGTCGAGAACATGAAATATGACGGATATATCTTTAACATAATACATTTTAAGTTTTTGAAATAATGTCCGGAAGAGTTTTATTTATTTTTCAATTTCATTTAAAATGTCTTCTTTGTTTTAATAACGTTTTATTACATTTTCAGAGTGTACCGGAAGGAATGAGTTCGATTTTAAAATGGATCCATGAAACATACAATCACCCGGAAATTATGATTACCGAAAATGGATATCCAGAACCGGGTGATATCGATTTTTCCTTGAGGAAATTAGACTACCATTATGTTCGTAAAAAATTACATTTTAATATGCTCGTTTTTATAATATAAAATGTATAAATGAATATAATCGATTACTTTGTAGGGCCATCTCAATCATACACTCATAGCAATAAATCAGTACAATGTTAACGTCATAGGATATTGCTCTTGGTCTTTGATGGATTCGCTGGAATGGTTAAACGGTTACAGGTACCTATGTGCTTACAAATTTCTATATAAATACTGCAGTAGGTTTTCGTCGGGGTCATGGGAATTTATGTTTGTATTTTTCATTGTTCCAATTAAACATTGTTAATTTGCATTAATTCAATAAGTACCACATACGTATCATCGTAAATTATAGTGGATTAATGCTGTGCGTTTAATTTTATTGATTAATTTCCGATTTTGTGTTAAGCGAAAAATGTATTGGTTTTTAAAGAATATTATTTTTATTATGTGAACACTTTCTAACCGAAAACCCACTCCGATATATAAAATAGACCCTATTCTGAAATTTCTGAATTAGCTTGGGTGTTTTTTATAGAGGTTATTTTTCGATTTTCACAGGAGTTTTACCAGAAAATGTGAAAAAACTGGGAATACCTTAATAATCGGCAAAATCGGTACAATATTAAATAAATAGCATAGAAAAAAATATGTAATGCCTTTAATAATTTTACCATAATATGACAAATATATTTGGCAATGCATCACTAGTAACTGAACTCCCCTCCGAATTGTTTTCTCGTAAGCAATGGTTTATCGTTATTCACAGATATACATTAAATTTCCTTCAGTATCCTACCTTCCTAAATTCTCATCATTAACAGTAGCTGGACCAACCGTGCGAAGTAATTCCAGCATTTTAATAATTAATTGTTTTTATTTTTTTTAGTTTAAGATATGGAATTTACCATGTGGATTTTAACGACGACAATAGGCCGCGGACACAGAAGAAATCGACTTTGTGGTTCAGAGAGGTGTACACAAATCGCACACTGGTTCCACCTTTTCTATCGAATAGCAGCGGTGAAAAGTGTTAATTTTAATAAGTACTCACCTAACTATCTATATTAAAATACTAATGTTATTATATTATAATATAACAGATTCAGATACTTTAAAACTTTTATTATGTTTTTGTCTATTTCATGATCAAACTGATATTTATGTTGTAAAAATGTATGCCCTAAAATGTCTGTATAATTTCAATAATATTGTCAAATTCAAATAAACAGAGTAAAGTATTAAAACCTACTTTAAATATAAGATAGACGAATATGGCAATAGTTAAAAACCAATTTAATTATAAATCTATTAAATACCTGTAGAGTAGGTCCCTATATATTGAGGTAATAAAATGAAGACAAATAATGATTATAGTGTTATCAATTTATCATAATTTAATAATAGAAATAAATCACTGAACCGCCATTTATTCTGGATCTATAAAAAATTACCAATTAACTTAGGCAGGTATTTGTTATTTTATGACACTTTTTACTTATTATTCGTTTTATAATTTGTGTCAATGAACAATTTTAGTTATTAATTTGTCTACAGTGATTTTTTTTATTCTGCCTCAACTCCATGAGTATTAATAACTACAAAAAAAAACATGTTTACAGACAATAATGAATGCAGGGAACATAATATAATTGAGGTGAAAATTAAATAATATTAATGGAATAAATAATAATTACGTTTTTTTTTCATTTCAATTCGATGTTACATGTTATAAATTATTTGATTTTTTTGACCTATAAGAGTGATCAGAAATATATTTACATTTTTAGCGCCCTGGTGCATTGTTTTTTTAAGGCACATTCATTCAAGAACACATTTTTGTGTTTTTACAATACACTAATATATTGAACTGCATATTTAACGTTTTGTACTACATTCTTTAGGCTCCAAAACACATGATTTATGTCCTGCTGAGTGAGTGTAAACTGTGTAATGGGTTCGGTAATAATAATAAAAAAAAAACTTCCTTTTTACCACGTTTTAAACGAGTATGACTTCCTTTTGAAATATGTTTGCCATGGTCAATGCCTCCTAGATTTCGGTTAAATAAGTTTCCGAGTCAAAAGAAGTGGTTTTACGGGGGATCAGAGGTCCAGGCTTCTGAGCCCCTACACCCTGAGTTTAGACTACGAAAATTAGATTTTTGTGTTGGAATTTTTTAATTATATCTAAACTATGTTTTTGATTACAACAGGTACATACATGTAGATAAATAAAAAGTATACTAATATACTATTAATTAATTAATGTAAATAATCTTTGTATGTTAATATATATTGCAAATTATATTAAAAGACCGTCGGTAATTTTATTTATGCATTTTTAGTTTCTATAGAAATGAAAACTAGAGCAAGTTATATAACAGAATTAAAAATTTTTAAATAGTAAATATTATATTATATTCTATATGTGTTGTATAATAACAATGACTAAAAACAGTTTAATAATAAACAGAGTAAAGTACTAGAACCTACTTTAAATATAATATAGACGAATATGGTAATAGTTTAAAACCAATTTAATTATAAATCTATTAAATATCTATAGAGTAGATACCTATATATTGAGGTAATAAAATGAAGAAAAATAATGATTATAGTGTTATCAATTTATCATAATTTAATAATAGAAATAAATCACTGAAGGCGGTAAATAAGACCTAGAATAAAAAATTACCAATTAACTTAGGTAGGTATTTGTTATTTTATGACACTTTTTACTTATTATTCGTTTTATAATTTTTGACAATGAACAATTTTAGTTATTAATTTGTCTACAGTGATTTTTTTACAAGGAAATATGGTATTATATAATATTTGTAAGGAAGTTTGAAAATTCAATCAAATAATACAATATTAATAATTTTAATATCATATTTTGACGAAAGTCGTGAATATTACAGTCTTTCAAAACATATATAACCGAACTCCGCTTAGAATCGTTTTGAATTTGTAAAGATCGTTGTGTAAAGGTATACATTAAATTATCTTTTATATCCTATCTTCCCAACGTTTCCACTATTGTAAGTTAGAAACGTAAGATATACATGTAGAATAATTTAGTTTATACGCTATACGTAATGATAAATCAGTACAAAAGAAAAACGATTCAGAATAACTAATAAGCTAGTTCAGTTCAATACCCAGACAGCAAAATAAAGTCATTGAAACATTTCTGTAAGATTTGAAAAGCAACGTTTAATATTATAGAAACGTTTTGGACTAATTTCAATGTCATTACTGAAAAGTTAATATTATGTGTTATTATAGTCATGTTTTGTTGTCCATTTGTTAAGAAGACACCACACCGACATCTACTGTTTCCATCTTACAAACACAATACATAGGGAATCTGTGTTCAGCAGTATACATTTTGTACTGTTACATTTTATATCAAAGCATATTAACTTATTACTAAACTTAAAGGCAAGCAGATTATATGCACCCAAATTTTGATGTTTTTTCGATATTTTTATTTTTAAGCGAGATATGAGTAGGTATGTAAAATATCAAAATTTAAAAATGATCACGTCTTGAAAATTAAAATATCGAAACAAAATCTACGTTAGGGCACATAATATCTTCTTACTTTTAAGTTTAGTTATGAATCAATGAGTTTTTATAATAAAACTAATGACACAAAATTGTTTTATTGAACTCAAATGTCGTGCGTTTCAACGACGGAGACAGTAAATGCGGGTGTGGTGTCCACTAAAATATTAAATTAAATTTAAATTTCTAAAGTTTTTAAAACATTACAGTAATAACGTATTAATGTGTATAGTATGTAATAAGCGTAATAAATATAAAATTAAATTTAAATAAATTAAAAATACGTGTGTATGTTTCAACAAATTTGTATTGAAAATTGTATACCTATTATTTATTTGTTTATTTAAACGGGCGAAACCCAATGAAGAAAAAATATAATACAGATCGTATAGTTAACAATTTAGAATACATGGTAAATAGTTACATAATACAATAATCGTGAATACATCTTGCGAATACGTACAATTTAGAATACGTGATAAATAGTTACATAATACAATAATCGTGAATAATCATAGGCTGAGCAAAAGGTTATTAATGTATACATTAAACAAGTATATATTATCATTACAGAATAAATCTACATTTAACTTATATACATAGCCTTTTTATCTTATAATCGGGGCATTTTGAGAGTAATTTACACGACAGAATAGCACGTAAAACGCATTAGATTGTTTTATGATATTACTGGGCCAGCAAAGTCAAATTAGGCTAATAATTCAGAACATTATATAAATTCATTAAAAAATTTAAAGCGAAAAAAAGGTCAGAATGAACTCTTCTGACCGCTAAAGTTGCTAAATTAGTTATTGATAGTAAAGTTGAATATGATGAATGTTTTCACCTTTGAATACCACATTTAAAAGCGAAAAACCTTAAAAAACGATTCTGGATATCTTTAATAGCACTAACCGGATCCGATGCGTGTAGAGATCAAACAATTGAATTGTGATCTAGTACTGAGTGAACAAAAGAACAATATAGCGATTTTAGAGCTATGGCGTTATTGAAATTAGAACATGTTCTACACAAAAAGCCTAATATAGCTGATGAAGTTTTATTATGAGCAAAATGTCCATTAAATGATAAAGTTTAATAAAAAAAACACCTAAATATTTATTATGAAAAACTCTAGACAATTCAACCTCATTTAGCTTGTAATTATAAAATAGAGATTCACGTTTTTTAGAATAAGTCATAATTTCCCAACATTGAAAAAAATATTATTTAATTCACACCAATCACAAAGTTGATTAATATCGTTTTGTAGAAGTTTAACGTCATTAAAGGAGTTTATAATTAGACAATTTTTTAAATTATCTTCAAAAAGTAAGAAACGGGAATTCAGAACATTAATATCGTTTAGAAATATGTAAAATAAAAAAAGGAGCTAATTGCGACCACTGGGGAATACCATAAGTAACATCATATAAAGGCGACTTAAAATTTGTAACTTTAATAAACTGTGTCCTCCCCGTAATAGAGGAAACTAATCACGAAAAAAAAGGATTAAGAAAACCTAAATTATAAATTTTAGCAGAAAAGATGTTATGATCTATTTTATCAAACATCTTAAAGAAATCGATATAAATTACATCAACCTGATTACCCATATTAAAAACATTTAGAACATAATTTTGGAATAATAATAAATTCGCAATAGTAGATCTACCAGAGAAGAATCCATGTTCTTTCTAAATAATTATGTTTTTACCTAATGGAGTCTTTTAATAATAATACTTTCAAACATTTTAGGAATGATAGATATAATTGAAATAGGCCGATAATTAGACATTAAACTAGCAGCACCATCTTTAAATATTGGAGAGACATGTCTCGATTTAAACCTGCTAGGAAAAATACCAGATTAAAGCGACAAATCGAACAAATACAATATGGGAATCGATAAAACAAATTTATAATTAGAGAAAAATATGTTCGGTATATTATCAGGACCTGGACAAGTTTTATTTCTAATGTGATCAAGTTCATCGAGGACATTCTGTAAGGATAGTGATACAGAATTGAAATCCAATTAAGATATATTTTTTGTATGAGATCAATGCGGGAGAATAACTGAGGGATTAAATACACTGGAAAAGTATTCAGAAAAAGCATTTAAAATTTCGTTACCACCCGAATACTATATGTTATTGTTCCATAATTTGCATAACTGTTTGCATTTTTAACGAATTTTAATACAAAAAGTTGATAAAAATAATTAGCAATCTTGTCAACGTTTATTTTCGTCCGTATAGAAAAAAAAAAAATTCGAAAATTTTAAGTAGCATGGACACATATTATTGAAAATGACTCCAAATCTAGAAAGAGTGTAATTTTCAATGTAAACAGGCACGGAACTAATAGGAGGTTTGGGTAAGCCTGGCCACCTAAAATATCCGGCGATGACCGTTCCGGAAGCAATAGAGCTGTAGTCTCGCCACGGATATCGTTATTATTTAAATTAAAATCTTTCACTTTCCATTGCTTGAAAATTTGTATGGGTTTGTTTTGATTTCTTTGATGGTGTAAAAGTGTTTGTTCAATTTCTTGTAAACAAAGTAATGTTAGTAATTGTTTTGCAACGTGACACAAACATGTCAAATATACCTACACTTTGTTAAAAAAATGTATATTAGGATTGTCAAATGTATAAAAAAAAAGCTGATACTGGGGACGGATACAGCCACTGTTGTAGGAGAGAAGTTGGAAAGGTACAAAGTTGGATATAAAAGGTTATTTCATTTATATCTGTAAGCAACGATAAACCATTGCTGACGAAAAACGATTTCGAGCTCAGTTCGGTAATACATAATTTGAAGTGCCGTAATTTTTTTTGCGATTTTCGTTTAAATTTGATTTCAAAACGCTTATTAAAAAAAAAGTTCGACAAAAAAGGTCTCATGTCGTTTTTCAATTGGAGCCATATTTATATTAGAAAACGGAATGGGTATTTATTTAAAATAACGAAATTGTAAAAAAATCGTATTTTTTTTCACCGGTTAATCGTTTTTATTTTAATACAGTTTCGAAAATCAAAAATTACCTATGTACTTGGTAAATACTAAGTAGATAAAATTGAAATTCAGAAAAGATGCTACACTTATACAACGGAGCAAGTTTTCTTGAATAAAAGTGGTGTACAATATAAATAAAAAATTACCATTGTAAAAAAAGGAAAAAATATCGTCCGATAATTTTGGAAATTTTACCACGAAATTTTACCTCGAAATTATCGGTTCAGTAGTGAGGTTTAGATGATGTACTAAAACGCAATAATTCCTCTCCAAGATAATGAGTGTACCCACATAAATGGATCACCCGGTATTTGATGCCTCGCATTAAATTTCGGAGTATTTTAATTAAACAAAAAAATAATTATCCTTAAAACACCAATTAAAATCTATTCAACTATATTATTTTTAATAGTGATAAACAATAATGGTCCTATGATCTTTTCACGCTAAAGAATATTAGGCCAAAGATTATATTTAGAGAAGTTATGTAAAAACAATCGATTTATATAGGTTAAATTAAATTAGGTATATTGGCACAATAGTTAACGAAATTCGACTATAGTTTCGCAATAGTTAAGGCGTATTATAATTTACGAATAGATTAAAACTGTAAATAGATAAATGTTTGCTATAAATATAATCGTGTCCAAAGTAGCTGGCACAGTAGGTGGTCAAATTAAACTACTACACAAACGATTTTTCAAGAGATCGTTCGACTATGAGCGCCCTAAAATTTAGTAAGTTTGAACTTTTTAAATTTATAACGTAGTGAGTAGATGCAATATGAACTTGATTTTTTTTTTGTAGTAGTCATTTTGACATTCGCTAATTTCGCCTACTGTGACGATAAATTAGTATTTCCAGAAAACTTTTTGTTTGGTGCCGGCAGTAGCGCATACCAAGTGGAAGGAGGATGGAATGCTTCTGGTAAGCTATTAAAATTATTAATATTTAATAAGAAAGAATGCATTTTTTTTTAAATCTAAGACATTTCTTGTTTCAAAATAAATTTGCTAAAATTTATCGATTTTTACTTTAAGTACATATTTAAATATAATTGAAACCTACATAACCTACGAATCTACGATTATAAAACTAAAATAGAAAAATAATGAAATGATTTATATTTATAACGATTTAAAAAAATCGTAGGTATAATTCTATTGTATTATCGATAGTTACGATAATATTTACCAAGAATTATTTTTGGAATCGGCAGAGTGTAGCAAAGAAGCTATAGTTTTACAATTTTACTAAGATGTGTTTTATTGGTTCTTAGAAAATTCTTTTTGTTTGTAAAAGTGCTCAGAATTTTTTTTTAAAAGATACGTAATATTTTCCAAATGGTAAAATATTTGAGACATTTTTCAAGATTCCTAATTTTTGATCTAAACATATATATATATTTTAATGTTTTTTGGGGAAGTATATAATGTAACTACTTTACTCAGTTTCACTACACGATCTAGATATAGATGTATAATTTGTTGTACTTACGTACAATTTACACGTTTGAAAAATCAGTGCTAATAAAAATTCAGGCGAAAACATATAGATCGAAAATCCACCATATACAATTGTGTACAATCATTTCGTGATTTACTTTTAAACTTTCGTCTTTTAAATATTTAGGGCGGGCTGAAGGTGTATATTACATATGTATATTACGTATGTATATTACTTATGTGAAACTATAGTGAAATGTTTTAGGATTAGATATGTTATGAACGAATATTAGCGGTAATGTAAGTAAAACAAATTACTATTAACGTGGCATACGTTCGTCCAAGGGTAAAACAAAATATTAATATTCTGTTGATAAAGTATGATAAATAAAATATTCATAGTTTATTTCGACATTTTTAATTATATTTTGTTACATTTTCAGACATTATGTTTAATCAGTGTATATTTTTTTATATGTTAATAGTTCCGCTTATATTTTTCTTAGCTCATTTTGTTTTCGTTTAATTGCTTACACGCATTTGCGTTCGCTCTTTTGCTTTCGATCTTGTGTCATATAAACTAATAATGATATATTATACATTATCATTAGCTATTGTATATAACATAACATAACGTTATTAATTCGTTCAAATTAAAATGTCAAACCTTACAGATGGACCGATATTACTTTTTACCGGTACCCGATATTTAAAATTTAAAACCATGAATTGATATTGAAATAAACGATATATCGGGAATTAAAGACGGTTTGTAACATAATTTTTTCATATTTTATCCACATTACAGACATTGTTTTCTGAACTTATTGGATCAAATATCGATTTAAAAAATCCGATTTCCCCGAAAATTGGTTTATGTTTTATATATTTTATTTATTAAAAGTTGATACGTTTTTTTAAAAAAAGTGCAAAAAGTTAATTTATAATATGATCAATTTTTTAATGTTAGATTATTCGACTAATTTGCATAGAATAGTATTTTAGAACGTATTTATTGTAGTTATTTTTATACTTTGCCATTATTTTTACTAATATGGCTAGATTTCCCCGATTTTTGTTTTATTTTATTTTTAAGGGTTTATTTAACCGGCCTACCCCTATCAAATCATTAATTAAAAGTAATAATAACACCAAATATTATTGGGGTGGAGAAATAACCGAATGCTGACAGGAAGATTGCAATTTAATTGGCCACCCAACAGTAAAATAGGCACCATAATAATTGTAATACACTCGATTTCAATGTTTAAACTCTTTAATTTACGAGAGTAGAGAAAATATAGTTAGTTATAACTAATACCATTGTATCAAAAAAAAAAAAAGTAAAATTAAAGTAATAATAATATCATTTAGTTTATTAAGTACGTATATTTTATTAATGTTTTTAAACAAATAATTTTAAGCACTATTTCGTTGAACTTAAAAAACTATACACCTTGGTATGATAGTTACAATTAGTTTTTAACTAAAGTTCATCATAAAATGTTGCGTGATAATATTCACAATAATTGGTTCTATTTTTCGAGTTGATCGAGTCGATTTTAGAAGTCGAGTACTCTAGAACCGACGAGTATTTGAAATTGCACAAATCCTCGAATATTACAGTCACTTGTGACTGGTGGACAACATCCATAGGTGGTTATCAATAGGAAATTAGAAATGGGATAAATATAAATTTCCTTATTATAAAACTTAAAAACAAAACAGTAAAAATTTATTTTCAACCTAATCGACATTGTATTCGCATAGATATATCTATTTTTGGAGATATTTTATATGCCTATATAGATTTTACATATTTTGTTTTTAAATAGAATAACACTTGAGAATTTGTAAAAAGTTTTTAATTTTTATAAACTTCATAATGATAATGATCAGATTTTGGTTAAATTACTTATAAATTATCAAATAGGGGGGAAAAAAAAATTAAAATAGAAGCATGATGATAATTCAGTGATTATAATATTAAATCATACATAAATAAAAAAAAAAATTATCAGAAATGTTATGTGAATATCACTTGTTTTAAAGCATTTTTGCACGTATTTATTGTAGGTATTATTATATTATATGATCACTGATATTTCTCAATACAATAACTTAAATTCTTACTTTTGTTCTACTTTTATAGAGGCTAACTTTAGGTCATCCAAAAAAACACCAAAACGAGTGCTTTATTAAAACCCCGTTTTAAGTCTTCCGTACGCGTAGTAATATTATTTTTACATATAACTATTGAAATGTTTAACATGGCGGTTACTTTCGTATGGGTATACAGGCAAAACCGAAAGCATTTGGGATGATTTATGTCATTACAAGAAACATTTGATGTTTTCGAAAAATTTCATACTGAAACATAACAGAAGCACTACACTGGATCCAACCATATTCTACGGTCCTCAGAAAATTTCCAAGACGCAGCGCATCGATGATTTCATGGAAATGTGGTTAGAATATGAGCCTTCGGTACAGAACTCAGTCCTTTACAGTAGTACTACCAATGGTAGCAGTCAGACAGACCAAGTCGTAAAGAAAACCGCAGAGGAAGAAGAAATCTACGAAGTGTTACAGCAGAAGCCACAAGTGGTCGGCTACTACAAAGGAGTGCCCATTTACGAAGAGTTGCCCGAAAAATTGTTGCGACGATTTCTCCAATTGCCTACGGCCGAAGAAGTTCCCTCGGAAGTGTTGTACACCATGTACTCGGTGACTGACCCCGATGTGGATTCACCCACCGGGGACATAGCTTGCGACTCATACAACAAAATCGACGAAGACGTACAATTGCTCAAGGATCTCGGGGTGAGTACACATTGAGTTCATATGTTTTGTCCCGTTTTATTTTATAGGTCGCTAAAAAAGTTTTTATTTCGATTTATTTAAAAAAAAAAAATGTTTTTACATTTTAGTCAGTAAACATGAAATTTTAGCATACAAACGATTGTGAAAATATTTGAAAGTTGAAACACCCCAAATGTATATCGTTCTGATTATCAACTAGTCATATACAAAATGTCATCTATATGCTGGCGGCTTCATTTGGGAAAGTCTGTGGGAGTGTACAAAGCATAAAAACACTCTCATACAGAAACAACATGGTGAAATATATATTTAATTTTAACAAGAATTTGATTACTTCAATTAGTCTGAAAAATAACTAACTTCGAGGCTCAAGTTTATTTCCGGAAAATGCTAAAAATTTCCCGAAACAGAGGAACAAATGCATTTATAAATATATGTATAGAATAGCTAGAAAACAATACAATAGTTTCTAAATTTGGGGACAATCCGACACAAAAAATTAATTTATTATATTAATTAAATTTAACTTTTAAAACCACATATTAAATATTATTGTTGCAGGCAAAGGTATATAGATTCTCGTTAAGCTGGACGAGATTATACCCCAAAGGAAATTCTAGAGAATTTAATCAAGCCGGTATTGACTACTACAATAACTTAATCGACAAACTTTTAGAGAACAAGATTCAGCCTTTTGTGAGTACATTATTATAATCATTAGTAAATAAGAAATTCTTATGAATACGTAGTGGTGTGGTGTGCGATAATTGTGTCGTGTTTATATTATCATATGTTCAGTACACCTACTTCCTAAATAGATTAGTTCACTACACAGTTAACTCTATTCTACTGCATTTTAAATGAACTCCAATCAATTATAATGTGATCGTATTGTGTACATATAATAAATAACGTTTGCCGAATTGTTCAATATACACACGATTATTTATGATATTGGTCCAAAAACTGTGTTTAAAATGATTGGCTATAATTGACTACGGGTGACTGCAATTATTTTTAACGTGCCATGCCATTGTAGATACGTTTAGTATTCAGAAAAATAGAGGCGTTATAACCATCACCGTTTCATCTTATTATTTATTTACTTTAAAAATACTTTAGAAATACAATTTCTTGGAGGTAGAAGTTTTGATCTAGTTAGTTTATTATGAATTTCCCTTTGGTTATCCTTGTAGTTTTCTCAATTAGGGTGAATAACTGGTAATTTCTGTTGAATTTTATGTTACTCAGGTAACAATGGTAGAAATATGATAAATAATATTCTGATCAGAATCGTATGTTATTTGCAATAGGTTTTTGTTGCATACAGATATAAATTGATGTCATTTGATCGTCTTTCTAAATTTCCCTTCTTAAACAGTGGCATACCTATCAGCAATATGAGCTTTTTTTTTACCAATAAAGTTTAACTGTTTAACATATAAAAAATACTTGTATATTTAGGGTGATTTATACTCGTTTTATTTTAATACTTGAATATACCTAAAACATCCTTATATGATTTGTTAAATTTAGGTTACGATTCATCATTTCGATTTACCAAGACATCTTCAGCTTATCGGTGGTTGGTCAAACCCGGTTATAGTAAATTATTTCAAAATTTATGCTGACTTTGTTTTCAATACATTCGGTGACAGGGTAAGCGTATATTTTTAATTATTATTAAAAACGATCCTGTTTTTTTTTCTCAACACACTATGTTCGTTGTTCAGGTTAAATTGTGGACAACGATTAACGAGCCTACAGTGGCTACCGAAGGATACAAGTCATATAGAGCCGCTCCAGCATTCGGACAAAATATGAGCGGCGTAGCCGATTACTTAGCTCTGCACAACATAATTATTGCGCATGCTTCTGTATATCGCCTTTATGAATCAAAGTATCAAGCGAAACAAAAAGGTATACATGATTTGAATAGTAGTGAAATGTAAATAGTACACAATCTCTAACATCTTATAATTTTATAATATTGTTTAAGATGTAAATTGTTAACTCTTTTTCATTCGCCTATTATACCTAAAATAATCTCACATTGTCTATGCACATATCGACATTTAAATATTTTAGTGTTTATTTTTTGTTTTATACAGGAAAAATTAGTATTAATGTTGCGGGAGATTGGTATTTTGCGAACGATAAAACCAATCAAGATGACGAAGATGCCGTCGAAAGAGTATTAATGTTCACGGTAATACTTTTATTTTTCATATATTTTTTCAGATACCTAGTGAATCAACGAATGTATTGGTCTTACAATACGATCAATTTTTTTTTTATTTTTTTCCTGCGGACAACTTTTCTACCAGAAATTTCGACCCGAATACAATGATAAAACTTTTCCTAAAGGAAATCTGACTCAGGAGTTACGTTGGGAAAGTCATTTTTAGATTAAAATTATTTGATGTGCCGTAATTTTTTTTGTGATTTTTTTTCGCAAAAAAAAAGTTGTCCGATTATTTTTAAAATTTTACCCCGTCTAGGTAAGTCCAATATAAATAATATTACCAAGTTTGAAGTCTTTCAAACAAAGTTTCTTTTGTAACTAAATTACAGCAGTAGCTCAAAAATTTTGGCCATGATATAATGGATATGTAAATTATTTTATTGTATTTGATGTACATATTGTTGACAATGTAACACTATCAACCGAACTCAGCTCAGATTCGTTTTATCGTTAGTAATGGTTAAGCGTTATTTACAGATAGATATTAAATTACCTATAACCGTGGCTGCACCCGTTTCAATTATCCTAGGACAGATTTTCTTATTGATTTTATTTTATGTATTGAATTTTGCAAGTTGAGTCTATTAAGGAGGTAGTTTTTTTATGTTCTTTGTAGTTTTATTAAGATTGGGAAAAATCGGAAACACGTTCCAAAACGAGAATATATACGCAGTAGCGGTTTAATAAATTAATTGCAATTTCGTTTATTTGTTATTATTTAATGATAAAAAATTTTAAAGACAAAGTCTTTTACTGATTTTTTATATTAGCACATTCTTTTATTTTATGGTAAAATTATAAATATATGCCGACGTTTTAAAGTTATTTACAGCAATTCGAAATTTTCGAGTTTTTTTAGTTTTATGTGGATACAATTGTTTTGATCCTGTAAATATATATATATATATATTTTTATAGGTCGGAATTATTCTTCATCCATTGACTTATGGCGATTATCCAGAAATAATGCGAACACAAATCAATGAGGTTAGCGATCGACTTAACATCTCTAGCCGACGACTCCAGGAGTTTTCAGCAGAAGAAAAAAAACTCATTACAGGTATACGAATTTGAAAAATGTATGCGTTTAACACTTGTATACCGCTTGAACGAGCTTCGTTTATACCGTTTGAGGGAGTTTAATGGGTATTCTGGGTGAATATAATAAGTTCATTAACGTAAATGACTTGAATACTATACACTCTAGGAAAATTTAGTGTAGCAATAATTATAATATGGTTTTTTCTTTTTTGTGTTTGTGAATAATTTTGCTACGAGAGAACTACCTAAGTATCAAGTGTAGTACTTTATCTGAACGGTAATTTTCTTAAGTTGGTACTTTAGGAGGGTCATTTATTGATTTTTTAAGAGTTTTTAAAATAATTGGGAAAATCCCGAAAGAAAATTATAGGTAAAACGGCTTAAAATTTGTACACATTAATTATGTGTACTTTTTTAAATTTTTTGAAATTATATATATATTTTGAGCCATATTGTAACTATTTAAAATTGATTAGATATTTTAATTTTAAAAATTTTATACTTAATTTTTATTTAGTAGGTATTCTAAAAATAAAATTGTTAGACAGAACAGAATTGCTTGATTATTTGACAAGAGGTTCGTTAATGTCGTACTTAGTAGAGAAAAATGAAATTGAGTGTTATGCATTTTTTTTTTTTTTATAATATGTTTAAATTCAAATTTGTATGAAAACCGTAAATATTACGGCATTTTAAAACATTCCCTCCCTTATCTATAACGTAATATAGTTTGTATTTATGTAATATTCATGGGAATATTTTTATATCGATAGGATTATGAATTTTCGAGACCTTTTTTATTTGGTTTAGGTTTAATTTTTTATAACAATTATTAGTTTTATACATGAGACCAATTGGCATATTTACCTATATTTGTGCGAGTAAAAAGATAAAAAAGAGTATTTTTACTTACAGGTTCCTACGATTTCATATCATTAAATCATTACATGACATTTAAGGTATCTGCAACTAACATAACAGATGAACATAATATGACTCTTAGTGAAATCGACGCAGGTATAAAAAGGACGATAGTCAAAGGCGAAGATTTATTCGTAAATAATCCTTGGTTCAAGGTAATATGCAAGTATTATATTATGTCATGTAAAATTTCAAAAAAATTAAATTTTGTATTTCAATGGAAGTAAAATATAAAAAAAAAAAATAATATTTAAATTTGAGTTTTAAATAGTCTGTAATGTTTATATGATATCTATCAGCCACACAGTTATTGTACTTATATGTACGCACTCTCCGTTAGTTGGATTATTATTGTGTACTAATTTTTACTTATTGTGTAAAACGTTAAACGTTTTTTGTTTTCGCAATTATAACCGATCAATTATAGTTACATTTAATTATAATTTAATTATAATTTTGGTATCTTAATATTATTTGTATCAACGATGGTTTATTAAATTTTCAGACCGTACCAGAAGGAATGAGTTCGATTTTAAGGTGGATTGATACAAAATATAAAAAACCCGAAATTATGATTTCCGAAAACGGATATCCAGAAATAGAAAATATCGATTTGGCTCCAGAAAAATTGGATTATCATTATGTTTGTATAATTATAATACACTATAATAAAAAAATTAAATAAGGAATACTATTTTATAAAACAATTACCTATGTTTGATTCATTTGCTTACTTATTCATAGGGCCATCTCAATCACATTCTCAAAGCAATTAAGGAGTATCAAGTTAACGTCACAGGATACTGCGTATGGTCTTTGATGGATTCGATGGAATGGTTAAACGGTTACAAGTATGTTTAATAATATTTTAAACAAGATGTGTTGTAGAATTGCTCGTATAGAATATTGACGTGTTTCTCAGTTCTATCCACATATATTGATTGTCACTAATGCCACTGAAACCAGTAAAACTTATCCTAACGGGCAGTAGGACCCAAATTGGGCAGTAGGAACTATCAAAGGTATAGTTGGTTTCGTGAATGTGGGTACTTATTTTAAAATTATATCATTATTTTCAAAATGATAGTTTTAAGAGACTGCTCGTAGTTCAATTAAAAATTTGAAATGTTGAGCTTTTCCATTGCTCCCACTCCCAGATTATGTCTCTAATGTTATTTGTCGATTATTGTGTTTTGTGTAAACTATGAAACGTGTATAATTACTATTTTTTCTTTTCCTTATAGATTGAAATACGGGATTTTCCATGTGGACTTTAACGACATCAACAGGAAACGCTCTAAAAAGAAAATAACCAATTGGTTCATGGACGTATTCAAAAATCACACACTCGTTCCGCCGCCCAAGAACCTGTAAAAATAAAGCGACCGACAAGGAGTACTGATTTCCGTGACACTGCCTATCACATAATACGCTAATGAGAGGGAGGAGGTAAGGGTATTAACCCTACATCCCCGGTAGATTAAATCATAGCATTGTATTACTTAGCAACTACAAAATAAAAATTGCAATTTTCGTGTTTTTTATGAGTTTTAAAGTAAATCACCTTCATTGTAAAAGAGTGATAAAACTTAACTATATTATAGCTAACTTTTTTTTTATCAACAAGTACAGCTTTATGGAACGATTAGTTTTAATGAATTATTTACTTAACAAAAAAAAAAAAAAAAAAATTTGAGCATTTCAAATGAGTGACTAACATTAATAGATATACATAGCTCATAAAACACAATAATATTTTGAAAATTTTATCAGGTATAGAAACTTTAAAGTGGAATATTTCGTCAATGAATTGATAGTAGTTGAAAATATTTAAAACAAATTTATTTAAACAAAATCTCCATTTATCTATAGAATTTCCAATGTAAGTCTATTTGAAAATAAAAAATAAATTTTGGGATATAATCGCCCAAAAATAATAATGAAAAAATAACAACATGTTACATTACCTACATTTTTAGAACAGAATAGTATAATTACAAAAATTATTTTTTTGAACAAACAAGTATTTATAGGATAATTTGTTCTGAGAATCTCGTTTCTATATAAGTATCACAACAATGTCCCTTGCAGGCGAGGGCTTTTAAATATGAAACATTGACATCATATTTTGCAACATTGTTTGTTATTAATAATATTCAGTTAAGATGCTGTTAGACCAGGTAAGCTTCATAATATGTTTCATTGGATACCTTTACCTACTTAAATAATAAATTCCACAATAGAATCTATCAACTATTGTATCCAGAGCGGAATTTCCAGAAGGTGTTCCATTTCTAACATTGTATAAAAAGTGATTCTCGATTGATCTTTATATTTTTTTGTAGCTTTAATAAACAAACGAAACGTCTCTTGTAAATGCAAATCATCAAAAGATGCCGGTAAAATATACTATAGTTAATAATAACACGATTTTATTCACGTACGAATACAGTTTGAATGAACACGAAAACATCATGAATACATTTGTTAGTTTAAAAATTCAGTAGCGCTTCTCGATGTGAAAATGCAGATGGAAATTATGAATTATATTTATTATGACAGTTGACTATTAAATAAATGAATGTGTAGTTTATTAGAATAATAATTACTAACAGATTTTTAACGGATTCGATATAATATAATTATGTACATATTATTATAACATAAATATTGAAAAAAGTTTGGTATATCATATGCTATCTAGTGGTAAATATACTAACCATAATAACGTTCACCATTAAAATATAATGTACTCTCAAACTCTGAGAAAATATTATTTCGGAAATTAATTATACCGGACGGCCCAATAGATTTGTGTTTGCAGTGTACACATATATACAGTGCTAGGCTCCCAATAATAAGGACAACCATCAAGTACGAGTACGTACATATGGCTATATCAATCGGACTTTATAGTAAAGGTATTTTTCATATTGCCCATATAGGTATAATTTACGTTACGGTCGCAGTTACAACCCTCAATATGTATACTTTATTAAAAAAAAAAAAAAAAACTGTCGGTCAACGAAAATAAATTCAACCGGTTTTTATTTACTTTACAGGATATCAAAATTGAGTGTATTTTCGCGACTCTCTGCATAATTAACCTATTTTTCCCTTAAGTAATGTAAATAGGTATTAACGTACGGAATATTTTCCCCTCCGGGCGTCATTTCCGCTTTTTTTTTTTTTTCTAAATGTCATCGCAGCCGAAGTGAGTCGGGCGAATTCAGACAATTTTTATATTTTCCGTATGCGCTTCGTTAAGTGAAATGCATGGTTTTTTTTTTGTTTTTTTTTTTTCAATTTCCTACCGCACAGTCGGCGCATCATAAAACAAAACTAGATAAGAATAGTTGTCACGCGATTTTTCGCGACGGCCGCTGGGCAACGGTTATTATTATTAGCATTGCAATTGTCGTTGGTGCTGTGAAACATGCAGCGCGTGTAGCGCACACAACACGTAATCTCGTACGCGCGCGCGTTTATTACGGCCACACCGAACCGTTCGGCGTACCGGACATCAACGGGGCTCAACGACACGTCGCGTGTGCGCCGGGACGCCGGTGATTGTACCAACGAGATAATCGCAATGCCAATGATACCGTGTGACCGTAACAATTGACATTGTACGCAATCAACGTCGCGGCGAACGTCGGCGAACGGAAACGTGCCGTTCGTTTCGGAGTTGCGGTGCACCCGCGACCGTGTGCACAGATGTGCGGTGTCGTTGTGTCTATCGGGGCTCGGGTTTTATAGCGTTTGCTAATATTATTATTTACTATTAAAGGGCATAGTTGAAAAATAGCAGGGTGAACGTAACGTTAATTGTTTCGCGTACCGGGGCACCGGGCGCTACAAATTGGAAATTTTATTATGTTCTTCGCATATTTCAAGTGTATTTTAGATTTTATAGTGATATTTTTTTTTTCAATTTTCGGTACTATTTTTCGTTGCGGTAGGTATTTATTATGCATTCGTATATAAATAATTTTGGAATTTCGAAGAATGTAATTACGAACGTCGATTAAAACGAAAAGAAAACAGCCGATTAAAACAAACGAATGTACCGAAGAAGACGAATACGGCTTGTCGTTTCTAAAAGTCACCTCCCGAACCAACTGAAAATCCTACCCGTAGGCAGTACGCGGACACTGTACCCCGACCACACGTACCTATCATACTAATATAACAGTAAAATAAAATATTATACGTCTCCTCGTCGTTTAATTTTTCATCGTGATACCTACGAAATAATAATAATAATAAAAAAAACATAATATCAATAACTTTGTATGCGCGCATATTTGGCGGTATACACGGAGTATCAGTCCGCGAGGTTGGGGCGGCTCCAGGGGGGTGCTTGGAGCCGCTGAACTCCCCTTAGCCCAAATTTTCGTTAAAAACAACTATACAAAAATATAAATTATACACTATCGATAATTGCAGACATGTAAAAGCGTTATCCACCTACAATCTATATACTGCAAAGTATTATACTTATAAAATATGTTTTTAATACAGTTTTCTGAAAAACATGACTCGCCTCCTACCCCGAATCGAGTTTCTGGAGCCTCCCTTGCCACGGGGTATGGATACAAAACACGGATAAAGAGAGACACATTGCATACAAGCGACTAAGACGCGGGAGAGAACAAATCCGGTCCCGAAGACAGCCGACGCCCCTGTGTATTTCTCATTTAGTCCGCGCGAAAAAGCTTCGCTCGCATTCACGCGTAATCATACCGAATGCTCCGTCTAGACGTGCGCATACTTATTGTATAGAAAACACACGCATATAGCGTCCGCACGGAGCGCTTACCATAATTTAATGTAAATCGATCGTCGGCGGCGGTATAATCATATAAGTGTGTAACGATACGCGTGTAGGTCAGAAAAATCGAATGAAATCGATAAAATATCATTCCGGTGCGACCGCAACCGCGTTATCCACCCGGTATACGCTTTACCGCAGAACGCCCAAAAAGCCAATTTTATTATTATTATTGTCGTTGTTGTACGTATATTAAAGTGGGTGTAATGACACGTCGTGCACACACCTCTGTTATACGAGATTGTTTGATACAAATTAACGGAGCTGATGTCACGTCCGTGAATGAAAACGTGCCGTTCATTGAGCAGTATTACGTTTTATGTACTATACTCGTGCGTGCACAGTCTTCGTCTACATTGACTTTTCCGTTCGACGCACGTATAATATACAAACCGTAGATATTTAAATTGGATAGACTATCGGAATAGTCCATACTGATATTATAAAGAGAAATGATTCGTACGTTTTTAGTTTGTAACGAACAAACTGAAATATTACTGGACCGATTTCAAAAATTATTTCACAATCAGAACGCCGCACTAACTCTGAGTAACAGATGCTATATATATATATCTAGAAAAAAAAATAGGGATTCCTACAAAAATTGCAATAATTAGATTTTCAGGTATTTTCGTTAATTATCTATGTACATTTGGTTTATTCGTGTGTTACTTTGGTGATATGTCAGACAATTCGGTCTTCGTGGACGAGAAAAATATTATTATCGTTATTCGTATTTCCTCTGGTTTGAAAAAAAAAACGTCCAAACAATGCGCCGAGAAAAAACAGGTCGCAACAATCCAAACACAGTTTCCAAGTGATGTTACCGAAAACACGTTGAATCGGAGAAACTTCTTCCGAAAGTTCAGACCGTCCCGCGAGTCAGACGGGCCAGAGAATCTAGCGCGCCGAACGTTCACACCGTCTTGCCGAACGCAATGCCAGACCGTCACAGCTATACGAACGACAATCGAACGCCGAACGCTCGCAGCGCGTTTGCTGAAAATGGTGCCAAAACTCGCGAACGCGTGCACGGGAATTTAGCGCCGAACCCTCGCAGCGGCGTGCGGCGTAGACAGAAACGGAACAGTCGTTCACAACTAGGCCGCGCAATAGAATTTTAGCACGTAGCATTAGATCGGCATCCAGTTGAATCGTGGGTAACCACGGTAACACGGACGAAATGAAAATACCCCGTTCGATGCACCGATACGGGCGAAGCAATACGGGAATAAAGGTAAAAATAATAGAAAATTGGCACGGGAAACGCCGGGCGCAGGGCAGCTAGTATAACAATAAAAACAATAATAAAAGGGCCGTCATTACCTCCCCTATCCTATGTTAATCGTGCCCCTCCTCTTGAACCACGGCCTACAATGTACGCATAGGAGTGGCCTATCCATATTTTCAATATCAACGATATGAAATTTCCCCCCGTCGCGACGGTGGAGGTTAAATTTCACTCGCGGTAGCCCATACCTATTGTAAAAGGCGATTAAAATGGTCCCGGCCTTCCTGGTAGAGGTAGGGTTTCGGCGAGAGGCTGACAACCTCTCCCGGTAAAAAAAAAGCGATTTCCGAGAAAAAAATACATTTTAGAAAAAACTAATCGCCACACTCAGTATTTAAAAAAACAATGCAAATATACGAACCCAACTAGATTTCTTAGACTAGTATTATCGGATTTTTATTCGCAAAATAAATTCGCGGAGAGTATTTTTGAAATGTATTTGAAATACTTTTTATGCAAACATACTGGTATTGAAATACTTTTTCAAAAGTATTTTTTTTTTTTTTTTTTTTTTTTTACAATACCGGCATTCGTCATTCACACGCCATTCGTATAGTATGTTATTTATTCCCTTCGGTACCTGTGTAATATTATGGACACACGCCGCGGTATAAGTCAAGTCACGTGTTTGGACGGCAATATTATCACACGTCGACCGCAAACGTAATAACAATATTAAATAATATTAGAGACCACTCATAGTGACCGCATTTTATTTTATTTTTTTACAGGCCCATGGTGTGTTTGTGTCTCGACTCTCGGATATCGAATTATCATTCACACGCGCACATACGTGATACGGGAACAGGTGTCGACGGGAACGGAAAACCGTCTACCGCGTATGCGGTCAAACGTTCGTCACCTCCCGTTGGTAATAACTTATAATAATATACCCGCGAGATCTCACGTTTTTTTAAAAATTTTATTTTTTTAATTTTATTATGACCGGAGTCAGTTATTGTGTGTATTAACACGTACACGATTTTGACCAGAAGACTTTCTCAACATTTCTTGTTCCTATTCTATTTTAATACCAAGATAAAAAACGAGACCGACAATTTTGGACGAGTCTTATCAAATACAAACTTCTTTTTTTTCAGATTTTAGAAAATTTAGAGAACAGATCCTTTTAAAAGTTGAGCCAAGCCGAAAGTGAATTCAAACTTGCTCGTATCGCCTAGATATTTCACCGAGAAGTATGAGAGTTCTGTATAATCGTTTAAAGGGTTTCATCTTCAAAAAAATTCAGGGGAGGGGAAGGGAACAGTATTATTTGTAATTATATTTTTCAATGTTATTGATCTTTTTACATTGTGACCGTAGCGAGGAATGTGTTAGTTTTACTATTTACCAGAAATCTTGCTCTAATTAAAAAAAACAACGAGACTTTTTTATTGTATTTTGGATCTAGTATATGAAAAAATGTGACTTTTTGATTGTCCCAAGGATTTTCATAATAATATGAAAAAACCGGAAACTAAATTATAGGAAAAACAAACAGATATTTATCGCGCGACAAGGCGTTACAGATTTCATTGTTTTAAATTTTTCCGACTTATGTGTTCTACCAAGAATCTTGCTTTAAACAAAAAATGCAAAAACTAAAAAATGAATTGAAAAACCTAGATTCACAGTTTTTGTACAAATAATTCGTAAATGAAAGTTTAGACACGACTTTAATTCAACAAAACAAATCGGTTATTTACTAACATCCATTTTTTCGGTTTTTTTTTTTCAATCAACTAATCTCCGTGAAAATTATCGATAAAAGTAATTTATAATTTAACTTTTGACTGATTATTACACGGCTTTGTGGCTAAGCCGGAGGGGGATATATTACGTTAAGGTTGTGTGCTTTCATATTCTTACGACAAAGAAGTTTACATACTTTTAACTGTAAGATTATTTATTTTTCATTAAAAGTGTCAATATTGTATAGCATTCATTTTCAGCCATTTAGCTACTTATAGCTAAAATGCGTATATCCAATATTCTTTTAGCGAATACAGAGCCTAAAGGACAACGTAATTCATGTCGTTGTGACGATAATGCGGACTGTGCAATATCGCCGTATCAGTTGCAATTTTCTAAAAGCAGGAAAACCGCAAAATATTAGATATAAAAATAACCAAAGTTGCATTTGTCTCCCTCGTCGACAGAGACCGCTTTCGGGATTCTGTTTGAAATTCCGCTTTCATCACAATTTCCACGAAATTTCGGAGCGGGGCGGGGGGACGGACGGAACCCCCGCCCCTCCGTCGTACAACCGTCAGCACACGCATGCAGTGTCCCGTGACGTGAATATTGTGATAATAAGACGCACGTCGAAAAGCGTATCGTAAGCACACAACGCGTTATATAAATACCACAATATCGTGTTGTTGTTATTATATTGTCGTAACGACCGACCGCCGGGGGACGTGACCGGGAGTTTTCGTTTTTTTTTTTTTTCGTTTATCCGATTACGCACACACACCGATACCGCATAACGATATTACGGCGTTATTATTGTTATTATTATTATTATTTTTTTTTTTTTTTTAAAACACAAGTGTAACAACAATAAAATATACGCGTGGCGCGGTTTTCCGTCGGACGAAAAGAAAATTACTATGGCGTGATGGTGACCGGCGACCGCGGTTACCGGTATACGGTATAAATACACGACCTCACCGCGACCGCGCGCGCCCGTATCGTATTATTACGCACGACACAATACATGGGTACGCGCGGCGGCGTAACCGGGACTTATCAACGGGAGGAGGAGGATGGGGCGTATTAGAGGGGGTCTAGGGGAGACGTTTAGAGATATTCGACCTTCTGAATCTCGCTTACAGCTAGCGGAAAACCAAAGGGGAAGGGTTACAAAACTGGCGTACCCGAGTGTTGTCCGTTCGAACGCGGGTCCCGCAAACGTAGGACAGTGGTTTTCAACCGGCGGGCCGCGTCGCAATTTCGGGTAAGTTTCCCGGTAAGTCGCTTCTGCATATTTGAAATTTAAAGAAATTAAGATTATGCAAAATTTTAATAAGTTTACACCTATAGGTAATATTATTACTTCTACTGGGAAAAGAACATTTTACGTACTGACTGCGCTATATCACTGATACGTGTATACTGTATCGTATGCCCAGGGCCCTATTTACGCAAGGACACGGTGGGAACCCACCTGCTGGATTCAATTATTCTTTTAATTTTAATTAATCCTTAAAATCGAAGAATACCAAAAAAGTTTACACGCGGTGTGTGATTCGTGTTATAGTGATCCTTTTTTGCCCTGGACTTCGCCGTGACCGGATGACGTGCGTCTGGTTTCCGTACCGTGGCGCTGGTGGCGAAGTTTCCCGGGGAATCTGCACTCGTGTTTGTATTAAATTATTACAAGGGCAAAGGGCCCGGATTTAAAATCCACAAAAAAGCGTTTACAAATGGCAAAAAAAAAAACCCGCGAAAAAATTGAAAACCATGGAAAATAGTTTAAAAAAAAAACAAAAATGGTAAGGAGGATTCGAAATTCCCCCATCTAACAGTTATAATTTATTAAATACAATTTTCTAACGATACAAACATAAATAACATAAAGCATAAAACATAATTTTTTTTATAATACGTTCAACTTTATTTGCAATAATAATATATAAAGCGATTTGTTTTATTACGAACTAGCAATTTTTCTTGAATTTTTCTGTTTTTTATCAATCATTGTAGAACCGTTTAAAATTTTGTTTTAAAATCATTTTTAGTTTTTTATCCTTACTCTATGTACCCTAAATAAATACATAGATACTTTTGTTTTTTAAATTAGAACTCTCATTTTTGAACACAAATTCTAATAGAGAATAGTTTTCTAGACATTTTGATAAGTGCATACAATTAAAATGATGAACTTCTTTAAATGATAACTAAAATGATTTAACTTCAATGATTCCACAGTGATAAAAAAAAAAAAACAGAAGTCAATTCATTTAAAATTCTCCGAGAAAATTACTGGTTTATGATTTACAAAAATCATTCTGTGTATAGGCGTACAAATTGACGGATTTAATTTGTAAGGTAGTCATTTTTCGGGTAAAATTACAACTTTGTGTGCCTGTAAGTGCCTACACTTATCGTATCTCTGGTACCAAATAGAATAATTTATTCTAGTTTTTTCATATTTTTGAGGTCAACTGTCATCAACTCTTCGTTTTCGTTATTGAAATCTGTTTTGAAACATTACAATCTCGTCGTGGTCACTTTTAAATAAAACGCTTTTATTAGACGCCGCGACGACTTATTTTTTTTCAATAGCTTTTTTTCCATGATTTTTTGTTCTTTAAAAAATGCTTTACATTTTTGTTTGAAAAACAGTTTTATTTATTTAGTTGATTAGAATTCTGTTTTAACCACTAGTTAAAACAAAACGATCAACAATCAACTTAAACACGAAACCTATATAATCTATATATCCCATTCCACCCTTACCACATAATCAGTCAATTTGGTTTTACAAATAATTAAAGGTTTATAATGTTTATGCTCGAACCATTGTGATAGAGAACTACGACGTAGGCCGGGAGTGGAGGAGATGCGCTAGCGGGAGTGGACTAAACGAAAATGTGACAAACACTATGGCCATACCTATCTACTCATAAAAATATCAATAATATGTTCTAAATCCAAAATACCTCTTCTATAAAAAAAACTTCTCTTGTCGGTTTTTGATCCAAACAAAATTCCTAGTAGAAAAGTTGTTAATAGGCCCACAAAAAAAAAAAAAAAAAAAGAAAGAAAACCTGATACTGAGAATGGGCGTGCCACTGTTGTAGATAAGAAGACGGGAAGTTAAGATACATAAAGTTATTTAATTTATACATATAACCAACGAGAAATCATTGCCAACGAAAAATGATTCTGAGCGGAGTCTGGTTTTTGAAAGGCCAGGATGAAATATGGAATATAATGGTACGCACGAAATGTTTGTTATTGATCATAAATTATTAGCGGTTTGAGTTTGTGATTATGAAATATTGAAATATATACTTATATATTTCATATATTTATGATGGATTTTAACCCTTCAATGCCCAATTTTTTTTTGACATAAAAAATATCCTAAACTAGTTTTGCTTGTATTAGAGAATTATGACTTAAGCACTAAAATAAACTCAAGTAAAACTACCGCGTTATTAATTATTATTTATTTGTGTGTTATGAATGACCGAAAAGTTTCATATATATATATACCTTATAATAATTTTAAGTCTCATCTTGGATGATTTAAAATAGTGTTTTTCATTCAAAACACATTTTATAAATCAAGAAAATAAAAACCACACACACACACACAAGAGAAAAACCGTTAAATTACGTTATCAAGTTTGAAACCCTTTACAAAACGGGAACTGATAACGTTCGCGTGTGCGTATCAACGTGAAACATAGATTAGTGCCCGAACTATCCATTAGACGGCGCAACGCGTTTTTTATAATCCGCATAATATGTAGCGTGGAAACATAGTGTTCTGGCACGTTGCATATTTGCTACAACGGGCGTTGAAGGGTTAAGTAACCTGTGACGGGTTCAGATTTCGCGTCCAAGTCACTCGGCCGGCTATTTCTTAGGATATATTATTTGTTTTCGGTAAATTCTTTCCGCAAGAGATTCGATGTAACGCTACAGATCCCACGTGCTTCAAATTCAAAATCCAACAGTGCACATTAAATATTATGTCCCCTTAAAAATACAATAACTGTTGCGAGTTATACGAAATACGATTGGAATTTTCGGGTCCCCGGGGCCGTTGCCCTCGTCTCCCCCGCGTCCTCTTTACGGATCACGGCTACGCCTCTGGTAATGGTATTTAAGGATACAAACTGCAGCGTGCGTTACACAGGAACGCGGTACAATAATATGTTGTTATACACGGTGTATTATGTGGTATTATCAATACTTACACGGCTATAATAACGATGACGATGATAATATTAATACAAATAATAATAACAATAATAATGATAAAACGACAGTTATACGATAATATTATTAAACACTATTAGTTTTATCGCGTGCCGGATGCGGAAGAGAACAAATGCGTTACGAGCGCGCCAATAATGATAATGGATATTAAAAACTAATACGAAAAAAAAAAAAAAAAGACAAACAAAGCGAAAAGTCTTAATAATAATAATAATAATAATTATAATAATAATAATAATAATAATAGTAATAATAGTAATAATAGTAATAATATTAAAACCCTAAGTAGGCCGTCAGTCTCGCGTCGGCGTAGTAACGACGCGCGGCGCGAAAGGACTTTTGCCGATCCGACGGCACCGGTGAGATCATCATTGAAAACGCGACGCGGCCGGGAACAGCCGAAGCACCGGACTGACCGATAATAACCGTAACAGCCCCGGCGACCCGAGTCACGCTTAAAGCGCCGCACTCGACCCGCGTACGCGATACGACGCAACGCGATAGCGTAACGTCCGACCCAAATTGTCGACCGTACACGCGAAAGGGGGAGGGGAGGGCGGTTTCCGACAACGTATATCCCCCCGAGGGGGGGGGGGGGGGGCGGGAAGAGGGGAAGCCGGATTCGGGCCGACGCCGCGTGGCCGGCGATTTTTTTTTTTTTTTTTGCGGCGAACGTCCGCGTCCACGCCACGTCCGTCTCCGCGACCCGGCCTGCGCTCTGCGCCGAGTGGCATACGAGGAGACCGCGATTATCGTTCCGTTCCCCCGACGTCCCCGACGACTGTCATCGCCGGGTTACTTTGGCCCTGCCGGGGTCCCCGTCCACTCCCCCCGCCCCCTTAAACCCGGTCCCGAACGCCCGAATAACCGTTGCGCCGCGCGAAGTACACCGGCGAACACACTGTAACAGGTCCGTCCGCGCAAAAACAACCGAACAATAACGGTAACAAACAAAAATAAATAAACTACGCGAGAGTGCACGGCCGCGCAGCGACGGTATTAAAAAATATATATAAATTACAATAATAACGCAGTAGTGATAAATAAAATGGGAAAACAAAAAAAAAAATGAAAAAAACATAATAAAAATAAATATAAAAATACAATCGTTCGGAACGCCGTACGCGGAGACGAGTCCGCGGCGCGCCGCAGCGCGGATCGGAATGTTCAGACGATAAATTGCGTATTCCGGGGGCCGGCGCGTTCGGCAAACGCGCGGTACCGGTCTGGCCGTAGAGCCGGCGCAATGCCGTCGATGTATCCGCCGGCGCCGTACCACATGGTGCACGGGGTCGGTCGGCCTGTCGTCGCCGTGAGGCCGCTCGACATCTCGCGGAGCGTTAGCGTTTTCCGACGTTCGTTTCGGCGGCCCCGCCGTTTCGCGTTCTACGTCACTGTTTTTTGTCGCCCCGTTCGATTCCGTTCTCGACGCCGCGTCCGCGTTCGACGAACGAACGGCGCCGGCGCGCGCGGCAGTTCGGCACGTCGCGGGGAGAAAATAATAATAGACAAAAAAAAAAAAACCCCGTATTTATTCTACTAAACACCGTTGTTATCGTTGATTAGCGACGTTTTTCCGTTTGACCGTCTCGCGGACGTGCGTGGCGACGGCCGTCCGTATTGCCGCGTGCGTCACGTAACTAACCGAGTAACGACTGTAACGATCGGTCAGGTGTGCGACGATTGTAATACGCTTCGGTGTGTTTTTCGTCGTCGTAATAATTTGTTTTCGTTTATCATTTTTTTTTTTTGTTTTTATTTTTCCCCCGTTTTTCGTCGACAAAGACGGCCGGTCGTTCGTCACCAGGGGCGCCACATGGGGTCGCGTTGGCCGGCCGCGGCGGCACCGGCGTCTCGCGGGCCCGGCGACAATAACGGCGCCGACTGATGGCCAAAGGCGGGCCTGGTGGGCTTGGGCCGGACGACCGTGTGCGGGCCCCGGTTGGACGAGGTCAGGGCGGCGAAGGGTTTCTGCGGCGGCGCCGGCAAAGGCGCCGACGGGAGGGCGGCCGTTTGTCCGGTGCACGGCGACGGCAGGAGCACGGCGGCCGCGGTATTGTGAACGGGCGGCGGCGCGGGCGGGTCGTTGGTCGACGGCGGGGTGAGCCCGCGCGCCACCGCTGCGGCCTCGACGGGCAGAACGGCGGCGGCGGCGGCGGCGGCGTTCGAACCGCAGTCCATGTCGTTGTCGTCGACGGCGGCCGTCGGACAGACGGCGGCCGCCGCGGAAAGTTTCTGGGCGCCGGCCGCGGCCGCCGGGAGTTGAGATTCGAGGGCCCGGGACACCGATTTGGCCAGGTACTCGACCAGCCGACGGCCCACCACCGAGTCCAGGCCCGGCAGCGACAACAGGAAACTGCACGCTTCGCTGGCGCAATGGCTGAACCCTTCCTGCGGACAGTAAACAATAATCGGGTCAGATAACTGCGTCAAAACGTTCGACAATTATTTAGGAATCACACTGCTAATTTCACAGTGGTTAGGTGAGGTTTTTAACGGTTTAGATAGTTCCAATAGTTATATTTTGTTTAAAATATTTATAAAAAAAAAAAAAAAAAATTTATTTGATTTACTCGAAATAAGACATAACCGTTAGGTTAGGTCGGTTGCTATCTACGCTGCTAAAACCGAAAATCTCGTATTGTCTTGTATCGCGATAGACGCGTAGTTCCTGAAAGCATATCGAGTACCCCTGCCCCCCCCCCCAACAGGTATTTATTTCGGAGAGTCATAGCCGAAGGACGGTCGAACTTGTAAGTGGGTGTACGCACTTTCGGGAAGTCCGGAAAAATAACGTTTCAAATAAACAACCACCGCGTCCTTTCGACTATTACTTTACTACAGCGTGCGCGTACAAAATGTAATTCACGTTTCGGTTTCAAGACATTGCGAGTATTTGTGTGGAAGGTATGCGCGAATGCATAAAATGTTACGAGTATTTCGAATTACTCGTCGCTTCACGCGGTCGCCATCGTGAATTCCGTTTCGAATTTCCCGCGTTTTCTCCGGAACGGTTTACCGGATTAAATAAATGTATTGGAATGTTTGCACAATCGATCAAACAATCGATTATCGAACGGTTGTTAACGTTTACGAAAATCGATGTTGAAGTTTGAAATTAAAACTCCAGGTTTTCCTATACGCGTTTCCAGGTTTCCAGAAGCTGTGGCGACCGCGTTCCAGTATCAATAATAGCCTACTATCTTGTAACCGGATACCGAATGTATCAAGTGTCTGTGGATACTCGTTTTGAAATATTTCGCCACCGTCTCCGTGTGACGGTTGACGAGGACGGTTTTCGCGCGGGGCTGGTGTACGACCTCGATCGTTTCGTACGAAATACTGTTCTGGCGCGAAGTTTTCATACATACAAAAGTAATGTCGTTATTTCACCGTCCCTCCTAACCTTCCCTCGCAAACACACACACGCACACACAACCGTAAGAAAAAAAATCGATTAAACCCGCCGAGCCGAAAAGCAAATAAAAAAAGAAAGTTTCGGATTCTGAGCACGGCGAGGAACGTAGTATTGGTCTTGATTTTTTTCCGCAAAAATGTACAGTAGAAACATTCAATACTTGGAGTTTTGAGATTCGACCAGAAATTTTTCCGAATGGATTGCTTGTTATCTTAATGATGAATGTTAACCGTGTGGACGAAGAGTGGACGCGTGCGATTGGAAACCGTCCGATTCCAAACACCGAATTTGCCAACGTTCGAACAACAATGTTTTCAACCGGTATTTTTTATCATTAGAAAAATGACAATGAAAAAAATCAATGCGCTACGGTATTTAACGCGTGATAAATTGGCCGAAAAAAAAAAATGTATTTTATCGAATTAAAAATCTCTGAATTTCCGACTCGATAGTCTTGATTTTCGCGTTTGGAGGTGTTTCCCCGGGCGCCCCACCCCCTTTTATCAACGGCCGTGGACCGCGTTTCATTAGAAAACTTTGACCGTTTCCAAACGGCAATACTATGAATACAATAATAATTATCGTTATTTGTAACGGTCGCAAGAAACCGTACGGGTGACAATAAACTCACTTGAAATTTATACGCTTCTTCGACGGGATCTCTCCGGGTGATTTTTTGTAGATGCTTGACGGTGAATTCCAGAATGTCGGCCTTTTCCAGTTTGTCGACGTTTTCTCCTTCGGCCTGTATACCGATAAACAATATATTAAAATATTTAAAAAGTCCGTACATTTTTTTTTTTTATTGTTATTATTATTATTATTTTTCCACACGGAAATATTCAATTTATACGTGTTTTATGAATGCGCGTGTAAAATCGCAATTCCCCGTCCGTCCGTCCGTTACGCGATTCGAGAGTTTATGAGATCAAGTTTTTACGACCGGGATGAAACATTCGCACGCTCGGCATCGTTCAAAACAAAGAGGATAATACCGTACCGCGCGCTTTCGCATTTCGAAATCGAATATTTTGGGGTGTCGCCGACGGGTTTTCGGTGATTTTTTTTGTATTATTATTATTATTATTATTATCAACGAGATTGGTGATGTTGTTCGACTCTATCGCCGGCGACGGGGGACGACGAGTGCACGGTCTTTAAAAGATACGTTGCCGGACAACGGCGATTAAAAAACAGTTAATACACGGGGATGTTACACGGGGTGGAAACGGCCGGTGGGGGGGGGAGGGGTGGCGGCGCGCGCACGGCGTTGAATATCGAATATCTCTCGAATATTGACTTCTGGTTTCGAACCGGCCGGATCGGAAGGACACCGGGCAACTCGGCTGTTACCGACGTTTCGCGTACGACCGACACGTTCTCACTCACCTCCAGCGCGGTGAACATCAGATCTTTGAGTTCGTCCAGACACCGGTTGATGCGGGCTCGGCGTTTCCGTTCCAGTAGCGGTTTGGTTATCTGCCGAGAAAAAAAAAAAAAATTATGAAACACAATATGAAAATGACGTAGGTTGACAGTGACTATGCGTGCACTGGATATTAATAAGAACGGAGTTCCGAAACGATTACGAGAACGTTATCGCAATCGTTTACGAACGATAATCCGTGCGGGGCGATCCGTTTATCGCGAACCGGCGGTTTTTTCGGGGGGGGAGAGGGGATTTAATGTTCGCGAATCGCGCGGAACAGCCGAAAGTCCAGCGACTGCGCTACTGAAGAGCTGCGAACCGGAACAGTCGCACGGGGCACCGTGTACGCGCCGAACGGATATTTCAAACTCGGCGATTGTTCGAACGTCGAAAGGACCGGTGGGGCGGCGCGGTCCGTTTGCACGGTCGCCGACATTTCGTCGCGGCGCAGTCGGGTAGACAGCACCCGGTGCCGTTTCGGATTCCGAGTACGTCCGCCGGCGCGTCGGGTTTTTACGACGGCGCGAGCTTTTCGGGTGTTTTTTTTGTCCGTTCGAGCGTGAATATCGTCGCTCGCGCAGTCAATTCGTCCGTTGCGTTGTTCGACGAACCGAGGAGATTTCGTCGTTAGTCTCGACTTGTAGTTTTCTGACTTGTTTAACGGGGTGGGGGAGACGGGGGCGGGAGGGGGAGAAACACGCGTTTTACGCGGACGATTCTATATTACCGTTTTAGGTTTTATTTTGCTTTTGAAATTCCGGTTAAACGTAATCGAAGGGACCTGCGATTTCGCAGACCACTCGCGTTATCGATTTCTGGACGCGGTCAAAGTTCCGGTCGAAAATCTCGCGCGTTTTGAGATTTTCATTCCAGGCGTTTGTAATTCTCGAGTGGTTTTTGCGAAAATTACTATCCGGTTTCACGCGGATAAAGTTGTTCCGCCCGGCAAAATGTTTGTGAATTCAACGCGATTTCAACGCATTCAATCGAATCCAACTCTTACAGCTCCTCACCCATAACTGTGACGGCACGCCCACCACAGCAGCAGTATCAGCGTATTTTTATTATTATTATTGTTATTATTTTTTTTTTTTAATATCACTTCTCAATAACATTTTTCCCGAGTAAATTGAAAAGTCAAAACGAACTAACCGATAGCATGAGTTTCGTTTGCGTTGGCAAAGAAAAAAAATGTACGGCGCGTACACGGATAGAGTCCTTCTTAACGACGCGTCTTGTGAAACCGCGGTAGTCAGTACCGAAACGACACGAACGGGTCGAGTTTTCCCGCGCGAAACGGTTTACCGCAAAGAACAGCGATGACGACACGGATGACAGTACGGAAATTTCGGGAAATCGACTTCTAACGTTTCACGGTTCTCCGCGGGGTTCTATGGTTTTTTTTCCCGTGCGACACTGTTACTTTTGAGACACGACTCAACGCTGGCTAGAAAAATATTGCGTGAATGCGACGTTTAGTAAGCGCAATTCAATGGAGTCACAGAAGTGTCAGGTGTTTTTCATACGGCAGGAGACCGTATTGTCTATTAATTTTGAGCGAACATTCGCGGTCATTTGAATTAGCAACGCCTTCGGCATTGAACGAACGGGAAAAATTCGAGAACACCAAAGGATGACCCGTACCGGGGCATGCCACTCCGATGGCGATAACTCGAATACCGTATTTTTCGAATCGCCAGGCGGTGTTCTTTCGGTGGGGATGGGGGATGGTGGTGGGAGTGTGTGTGTGTGGGGGGGGNGGGGGGGGGGGGGGTACCCGAGACACACGCCCGTTGAAATACGTAATTATACTCGCCGCGCAATTTTCCGACACGGCGGACATGATGGATGCGGACAACGTGTCCGCGTCCCGTACGCCAATCGATCCAGCGACGTATTCGAGACGGTTATCTTAGCGCTGGACGCGATAAACGTGGAAAAGAAAAAAAAAACCCCCGCGCGCGCCCATTTGTTCCGTTTACGTTCTCCACGTGTACGGGCGAATTTTTCACCACCGGGAAAACTGACGCGGAGTGTTCGAAGGACGGGGCCACGGGTTTTTCCCCCCTCGGGGGGAACTCGTTTTAATCCGGCGGCGCGACGGGCGGTCGCGGGTCTCGTCGGCGCGACGTCCGGAAATCGCGAACGAGTGGACGGTACGAAATCCGCGGAAAACCACCGCGTGTTCCTCGCATCGGCCCTGAACGGGGACGGGAAGGCGAAACGCCGGGGACGACTGTGCGTTACACAACGGGACGTTCGGGTGTGCTACGAATGTCGGGGACGCTCACCTTTCTGTACTGCACGGTCCGAGAGATCGGCGACGGCGTGGGAGAGAACATGACGACGACCCGCGGAGACGAACGTTGCACAACGCGCGGTATTAACAATGACGCGGACTGCGTTCGAAACGGATCACGACTGCGGCGACGATGCGAATGTTCGTTACGCGGCAACGTGTGCGCACTGCGTGCAAACCGGCCGACGGCGTGTAACGGACTGACGGAGCGGCGGGCGGTGTTGTTCAACTGTTGCGCCGCTACCGGTTGCCGCCGCGCCGTCGCATCCCCCCTAAAGACGTCTCGCCGGCGGAAGCGCCGAGTCCTGGGGCGGCGCGAGCTCTCGGGCGCGCGCCGATACGCGCGCCGCGGCCGCGGCGTACCCTCGGCATGCGTCACCCCCTAGCGACGACCTCGCCGCTCGGTTCCCACGGACCGACGTCGGCCGGTTCGCCCCGCCGTCCGTTCACCGTGGGCGCGCGCGCGCGCGAGTAATTGTATTATTATTATTATTATTATTATTTTTGTCCGTACGCGCGTTCGACCGTCGTGACGCGAGCGTCCCCTCCACCCCGTAGACGCGCGCGTACGTACAGGCGGCGGCGCACGATATTCCAACGTTATTGTATACGAACGCGTTTGACGGCGAATCGAGTTCGACAATAACGAAAACGAAAAAAAAAAGACACACTCCGCACGACGGGCGGGCCGCTGCCGTAGGTGAGAAATCGGGAACGTAGGGATACGGAGGGGAATTCGACGCATGTCTGTGCGCGACGATTGGTCTTGGCTAACGAAAAACGATTCTGAGCGGAGTCCGGTTACGGACGTTTCGAAAGGCCGTGATATTTGCGGTTAGAAAACAATACGTTCGGTGCGTTTTCCCGTTTTTCCTACGGTTTTTTCCCGGTTGTTCCAGTTTATCATGAAAACGCCTGGAAAAATCAAAAATACGATTTCCCTCAAGTGTCAACGAGTTAAAATTTTCTCGAAGAATAGATGCCACACTTGAAAATCGGAGCAATATTTCTGGTAGAAAAGTTGCTCCCAGATAAAATTATAAAGTAAATATCAATGTAAAACCAGTATGCATTTCTCGCTTACTCTCCGAATCTAAAAATTAGTGAAAGTGGTATTTTTTTTTTACATTTGATCTATTAAATCGTCTTTTTTATTAGAAGTTCGAATCTCGTTTCGGTGCCCTCTGTTCCTACATCGGGTGTGAAAATATTTTCGGACGCAGTTATCACACATGGTGGACAATTTTATAGGGTCGTCTTTTAAAATAATAAAAAAAAAGGATTCGGCACTTTGTCCACTGTTTAGTTGATATTCCCCCGGGCCGTTTCGCCGTCCCGTGTTTTCCGTGCACACGAACTCCCGACCTTCCTCAGTTATTTCACCCACTTTTTGGAATTCACAACTTTGCCGTTTTCCCGTTACGTGTTACGATGATATTTTTTTTTTTTTAAATATTTCCATTTTTTAAGAAGTCATTAACGATTACAATCAAGCGCATCAAAACTCGCAGCTTTTCCTGAGACAAATGAAATTATTCAAAAATCATTCGGCCAATGCATAGTAAAATAAAATACTCTTTAAAAAAAAAAAGAAAAAAAAACACGTATAACAGGTCTTTCTTTGTGTCCTGAAATGATTCGTTCGCAATCGTCGTACCGCGATGTCTATTTGTTGCTATATTACGCCTTACATAATATAAATGCGATATAATTGCGAAATAAATCTGATTGTTATCCGATTGTTTAATTGTGTATCCGTCATAATAACAGTGAAGACTTGTAATAGAGAAAACGAACGGTTAATCGTTGTGGACGGGGTGGACCGACAAATATAATGTTCGGTTAGACGAGACGTAGAACGAACAAACGAAAACCAAAATTTCGTCCCGCGAAAACACCCAAACGAGTTGTATAAAAAAAAAAAATTACGCACGCATGTTAATTCGGACGTGGAAAAATATTTCCGCCGAGTGTTTAACGGACTAATATCCTAATAGCGTCCAAACGTTCTCCAAATGAAACAATTATGCAAACGTGAAAATAACAATAATAATAACAGTATTTTATTATTACCGACGAAAAACCGATCCCTTAACTTGTTAGCGATATAATGGCGCGTTGTTTTGAGAATATCTAATCGTAAACATTTTCGATACGCGAACTCTTAGTCCGGCGGTGAGAATGGCAACGTTAAAAAATTCGAAATTAAATTAGCGAAATTCGGCAAATTTCACTTTTTTATTTTTTTGAAATCCTATCATTTGCATTGACGTAACATTTGTGTATCGTGGGTAAAAAAAAACTTCGCATATACCGTCATGTAGTTTTTCGCTTATATTGTTATAAATCTGGGGCGTGGGTCAAACAGGGCCATTATCACTTTTTGGTGGAAATGAGTTATGTTTGGAAGTTATACGGTCAATCATGTGAAATTTGATATGATTTTTCTCGCGATAAAAGGGCATATCTCAATAATCTCAATAATATTGCGAGATTTGGGAACGCCAATATTGTTCGAAAAAATGCTATTGCGATATAAAAAAGACCCAAAAATGTGTTTTATTCTCAATTTTCCGAAAAAAGATTAAAAGTGGGATCGGTTATTTTTGACCCGATGCCCAGAAATGTATTATGTCGGTAGTAATATACTGTAGCGTTCGCGTTGGAAATTTAAAAGAGAGAATAAGAATTTGAAAAAAATATTGTCTAATTGATGCAGTGAGATGGTTATTATTATTATTTTTTTTTTTTTATTTTTTTCTTTGTAGTGTTGTTAATAATTATTGGTAAAATATTTAGGAAAAAAAAACGTCCCGTAAAAATTTCATATTTACGTAATAACGGTTTCTGTTATATTCGATTTTTTTGTATTAGATTTCATTTGGTTTTGTGCGGTCAAAATGGTCTTGGCCGTGGGAAAATGCTCGAAAATTCAACACAAGATTTATCTCTAGTTGAAATTATTGGCAAAATATTGAAATTTCTGAAAAATTATTTAAGGTACTCCGTTCTCCTCCCCCCTCAAATTCAAGCGTAACAGTAGTACAGGGTATATTTCGTGTGTTCTGTCATCGAAATTTTTTTTTTAATTCGATCGTGTCTTAAAATACAATAAGCTGATACGCCTCACAATTTTCTACGGCTTCTGTTGCCATAATAATTTGACGTTTCCCACTTTTACTGCGTCGACCGTAGCGGCTCGCTACGGCTTGGCTTCGGCTTCGTGACTTGGCGAATCGGGAAACCAGTTTTGTGGACATTAAATACGAACGATTATAATACGTTTTTTGTTTTTATTTTAAAAAGAATCAGTGAATCCGTTTTTTGACAAGAGATAGAAATCGAGGTGAAATATTACGCGGGAAATCGCCGGGGCAATTTTGGTGGCGGAACGCGTATGGATATAATATCGACTATCCAGTTCAAGACTGCAACAGTTCAAAACAAAATACCAAAATTGAGTTAATTACGCAATTTTTTTTCTCTTTTTCAAAACAATATCGATTCAAGAACGCAAAAAAAAAAAAAAAAATCACTCGTCATTATTGTGCACTAAAGAGTATTTATTTCGTTGTAACCTTCAGTCCTAAAGTGGATCAAATGGACTCATCGCAAATGATCCGTGTATTTATAAGAATTTTATTCATAACTAGTTTACTTCATGTATTATATTTGACTAAATAATTCGTTAAATGTTCAAATCACTTCCCTGAAAAAAAAAAAAAACTCCTTTCTTGAGTTGTTGCAGTCTTAAACTGCGGGATAGTCGATATAATATTAGACATATTACTGCCGATAATATGCGCGGCAGACAATATTAAAACGACGGGGGATTTAGGGACGAGGATTTGGGGGGAGGGGGAGCCGGGTAAAACTGGCGTTTCGAGACGTGCACGGCGACAACGGTTCCGTCGGGGGTCAGGGTGAACCGTTTTATAGGTACGAGATCCAGAAAGAAAACATCCGACATCTGCGCCCGTTTCGGATGCGAAATTACCGCGGTCCCCTTTTTCTCGTATAGGTACCGCGTAATACGGGAGCGCGGATCCCACGGGATATTATCCCTCCCCCCCCTCCACCTTGGGGACAATAACAGCGTAATAACGTCAGCGCGTGTACAACAGAGTGTTCTACCACCTTGTGTAATATGCCGACGAAATGTTAAACAATAATAAATACTGGTTCGGCGTTTTCTATGCCGCGACATTGCGGGCGTATCGCAGTCGTGTCTTCCCGCGTCGCCGACATCCCGTTTTGCCGGCGAGTAAACCGATTTTGTAAGGTATTAAAAACCTTCCCATTTCGCCGACACATGACTCGGTTATATTATCATTTCGAATGCTGAATTATTATTGCCAAAGTCGTTCCAGCAGCGTGAGCTAAGGTAAATATATATACATTTAGTATTGTCGAAAATACAAAAACCATTGACGATAACAATAGGTAATCGACGATTAGATAAATGTTCGAAATAATTGTATTATAATTATAATTTTACAATTTTAATTTTCATAATTTAAGCATAGAACAGTGGCAATTTAAGCGAACTAGTGTAATCTCTGCAGAAACGACAACGAAAACGAGTTGTTTTAACATATAGGTATAGTGCGATGGAGTCATGAGTAGGCGTACTTCAAGCAACGTGCGTTACAGGTAAATATTAACTAAAGAAAATGTTGTCGGCAAAATGGGGGTCGGTTGGAAATGAACCATCGCAGTTTCGCAGTGAATGAATACAATATTGATAAAAAGAAAAAAAGCCGTCCTAGGATAACGGGGACGGGCGCAGCCACTGTTGTAGGCAGTTCAATGTGTATCATCTGTAATCAACGATTAACCATTGAAAAAAACGATGCTGAGCAGAGTTCAGTTAGTGTTGCTTTGTCAACAATATATTATATGTCATATTATGGTAAAATATAATTACATGTGCATTAAGTATTTTCTTTAATGATATTGTTTAATAATCCCGGGGAAAATCAAAAAATGACCTCCTTAAAGTACCGTCCCAATCAGATTTCGTTTCATAAAAAGTGCTACACTTGAAAATCGGAGCAAAATTGTTGGTAGAAAAGTTGTCCACTGTGACAAAAGCTCGACAGGTATTTTTGTAGTACACATTTAAAACGGTTTTTAGATTCAATACTAGTACAAGTCATGTACTGCTGTACAATACTCGAGTAAAATATTACAAT